GTTTTGTCCTTTGTTCACTAATTATATAAACCCGTTCACTCCCATCCATGCCCAGGAGTGACATTTAACACATTTCCTTAAATACTACCTACCAATAAGACAGGTAATATTGGGGATATATATCTTAACTTCAAATTCTCTCACGAAAAAACAACAACAAAGAAATGCTAAGGGGATCAGCTATCATATCATGAGTGAGAAAAAGTTAACCAGGTGAAATGGAGCGAGCTTCGAGTTGATTTTAAAAAGGTGAAAAAAGTCCTATCGTAACTATTATCATCTCTAAATCGTTTGCACAGTCGAGGATGTTTGTCTGTTTTATGTTAGCCAATTTGCAACGCCATCGTACATAGATTCATAGCACATAAACCTAACATGGCGCCTTTTTAGAATGTCACTTGGTTGCCAGGCGCTATTAGATTCCTTAAGATATCAAATATGTCTTATTTTAGTTGTTTTCTTTTTATCAAGATCAAATGATCTAGGTTTGTTTGGTCGTTTGGGTTTTTTCCGATTTCTATTGGAGAAGAACAGAACTTTCAAGCAAATTTGGTTGATCACGTTTTTCATGAAAAAATCACAGGTAGCGACCACTGTCGTATTCGTGGCTTTTCTGATTCGAGAGCAAACTTCAACTCCCTATGGTGACGCTCGCTGTAAACAAAACAAAACGGCCAGTCACTGGTTCCTCTTTCCCTATGGTGAATAAGAATGAGGTAGCAGAACTCATACGCGTACAAACAGGCGGAAAATACTGAATTGGGAATCGTATAGAGGTCTGGCGACAAATATTTCAAGGGGCTGCTGCGTTTCAAGCGAGAAAGACTGGTTTTTCTTTTTAGAGACTTCAACTGCTTCAGTCTCAACTGGCTTATCGCCGTGAAAATACAGACCTAAGGAAAGCATTCAAACGACTTCTATTTAGAGTTCCACATTAATATCATTGTAAAAGGCAGAAACCTGCAGTCAGTCATTCGTTGTAAAAAATTCCTGTTTGCAGAAGCTTTTAAAACTCGATAGAAGTATATCACTTAGCTATCTGCCTAAGCAGCATTAGATATGCAGATGCCGTTGATAAGCAAATTCTTTAAGGCACATAATTGTTCCCCTTTTTTATTTATGCCTTTTCCCATAAGGCAACAATTACTATTTAATAAGTATAGTTTACTCAATTTTCCCAGTTTCTTGTTTGAAATAAAACTGAATATTTCTAACGATTCCCTTAAAGATGAAGAAAAATAGTGCTGTGTCAAATGCCCCTCTAAGCGTTTAAATCTTCACTTAAGTACATTCCATGTTGGTCGAAACATTTGTACTTTTTCTTATCGTACTCATCGCATTTGCGAATCACCCAGATGTCGTTTTTCCAAGCAACTCTAATGGTGTGTTGATGCCCAGCTCCTTGCGTCGTTAACTTTGTGATGTGCTTCCCCTTTGTCTTGGCGTCTTTCACCTCTTGTGGTGTTAAAGTGACTTCGTGAGTATGTGCACCTGGGGGAGTTCTTGTGGCGTCTTCCATCTGAAGTGTGAGCGATCTCTCTGGTAGTGCTACTGACCCGACACCAGAGCCCCCTAATGGTTCCCTGAAGAGGTAACCATAAGTTTTTGACTGCAGGAGAAGATCTTTCATAGCTCCAAGCTCTTTCCACACTGCGCTTCCCTCTCCATGAACAGGCATTATGGGGTAGCGCTGACGCAAAGATCCTATTCCTTTTATAGGTGGAAGGAAGACTCTGACTCCACTCGCTCGACAGATCCTCACCCTACCATTTCTGTCTAAAACGCCGACGCTTTCTCTGGTAGTGTCCGCGGCATCGACACTCACCTCCTTTCCCGTGAAAAATGCATCAGGGGTCTGATAAAACTTCCTGCTGTTAGTACCATTGTAAGCCTTCTTAGGGTTTCTGTCTCCATTTCTTCCATTTTCAAAGACTGTCTTTCCATATGGCTCTTTATCGGGTCCTTTGTACTCAATATCAAAGGGATTCCAATTGCTTAAGGGTGTCAGAAAAATTATTTCCATGGGAATGGCATATGAGACCTTCTGATTGACTTCTTTGCATCGGGAGTTTGGCTTTGGTCCCTTGCAGATCTTAAGATTCATTCCGGCCACTTTTGACTGACTGGTCAAGGCCACGTACAGGTTTGCATCTGAATAACCACGATGACGTATGGACTGACCCATGGCATCTCTCTCCATTACTTTGAACAGTCGATGATAATAAGCAGCGTTTAGCGTTCCTGTTTGTTTGGGATGAACAGTTTGGGCAGGCAGGTCGAACGCTTCATCTATTAGATTGCCTTGATAGTTGTCTTTTCCTGGAATCTCGCTCATGAGTTGATCCAGCAAGGTAAATTTGGGGTTAGAATTGAATCTTTCGGACCACTTGTCTTTGTCTTTGGGATTTAGTTGAAATCTTGCTGCTCTGAAGTTTTGGTGATCCGAGTAATTTCTTTGAGCTGGAACTCTGGAATACAACTCATCAACCATACGAAACCTGTTTGTGGGTATGTCACGCCTTAACGGATGGCAGAGAATTCGGTAATTCCATTGAGCGAAAACAGGTATAGTCTCATTAATTAATTCCATAATAGTAGTGGGTAGAAAGGAGAAGTTTTCCAAATTGTCTTTTCTCCCAGTATAAGAGGTGAAACGAATTTTCTCTTGTAATTCGAACCAAGTTTGAGCATCAATGAAATGCCGGTCGCTCTCAAATGGCTCGTCGATGTCCTTGGTCGCGGTTGACCATGCCCCTTCAAGGTAACAAAGTACAGGCTTGAAGTACTTTCTGTAGTCTCTAACGCTATAGTCTTGATCTTTCCACGCCTTGAACCACTCACGCATCTCAATGATCTCTTCTTCTACAGTAGGTTTACTTTTGACCTCTGGTGGAACATCGGGGAACGGAATCTCTTCTGTGGCGTGATACTCTTTGTTTTTCGTACTGGGCATGAACAGACGGTAATCATTATGCCTGGTCCTGAACTCCACACCATTGAGAACTCCAACGAATTCTCCTAACCCAACTGTGCGGATGTTGTTAGTGTGGTCGTGAATCGCTAAAAGCCTTTTAGCATATCCATGAGCTTCCGAAAAGTAATTTCGGGTTCCATCATTCGCAAGACGTACTTGCTTTACCCCAGAATCACCGTCGGATCTGATACGTTCTTCGACAAACAGCTGTTGCAACATCACCTGGCGGGACAGAGCTCCTAGAGCGTTTCGAAGAGACTTAATTTCAGCGGCAAGGTTTTTTTCTGGTTCATCCTTTTTGCCCTCAGCGCGGGAATCAAAGGCTCGAGAGGTAAGCAGATATAGAAAAGCCAATATATGGAAGATAGAAGCCATTTCTGTACCGGAGTAAAATAGGTTATGATCAATGAAAATAAAGAAAGTCATTTCCCTCAATCTTTAGATCGCTTTGTTGAGTAACTAGAACAACGTGATCTGTCCTCTTTTAAGACCTTCTGAAGAAATTGAAAATATCATAATCAAGAGTCTCGAATTGAGAGCAGATTTCTTGCTCAGATTGCGCATTTCATTTAATTCGTTAACATGTGGTGCGGGGAATCTGCGCGTACCATCGTAAGGGAAAGTTTTGATTCAGAAGAATTACAAAAAGAATTTAACTGAACAAAATTTCTTCAATTTAGTATTGGGAAGATTTACCAATGATTGTCTGTCGATACAGTACAATTCATACCTGACGTTATCGCAGCTCCAAAACTTAAAGTTAGGCTGAAGAAACCTTCTTATCTTCAGGACCTGTAAAAGGTTATGCGGTTTTGTTATACTGATTATTAGCTTTCATGCCGTGCTGAATAATTATGAAGAAATATTTAGCAAGTTGAAAACTTATTTGATCACATGTAAGAATAGTTCAACATCTCGTTACTATGTTATATACTTTGAGAGGAGTATTTCCAACTGAAAAAAGAATACTCTTGAGTAGAAAAGCAAAAATAGTAATGACAAAGAATAGTGCAAGACAAATTTTTTCTTTGTTTCTGATCTCTCTCAGCTACTGGATACTTCAAGTTTACAAACAGGCCTGGTATTTTTATTCAATCAACTTTCAATTCTCTCCATTCAGTAGCTTAGTAGATTCCGTAATTAAGCCCTATAGTCCCAGACAAAAAACACAATTACAACTTTCTCTGATACTTAAGAAAGTATAAATATTTGCTCATACGACTTTTAATCCCAAACATTGGTAGGAACAAAACCTGCTGCGGTAAAAGGCTTTAACCGACGAGGCTTTCATTTTAAAAAGGGAGAAATTGTAAATCGGACTTAGCTTTCTACAAATACCAGGAGTTATAATAACTTTTTGTTTACTTTAAAAGCTTTCTCTGTTTAAAGATCTCTCTTAAAAGAGTAAGCCGCGGCCAAAAAATACTCAATAATTTATCCGTCAATTGCTCGATATTCTAAGTTTCCGTTTTCAAAATCTTTCTCATTTTCATTCCACTAACAATTTCCATCTTGCACTTTAAATTTCATAGTTTTTGCGGCTCTATATGCTCGACGCCGAAAGTTGATTAAGTTTTTTTATGAAATTATTTGCTTTGTAATCATCCTGCCGTTTGAAACCTGCTTACTGTAATTAAAATGAATAAATACTCAACAGTCTCAGGAATAATTTCTCAATTTGGAATCAGAGAAAATTTGTTCTGATGTGAATTAAAAGATGCTGAGCGATATTGTTTAGCCCTGATGCAAGGTGATAGAGTATTTTAAAATCCTTTCAGATTTTAAAATAATATTGCTATTATTGTATAGGTCTTGTTAAATCAGATGCAGCAACAAAGTTAGTATATCCTTGTCTAGTTTCCATATTTGTCTTTGTAAAGTTATATTTGGCAATTGCATATCGATCCCAAGACAAAATCTTAAATTCTACACTAGGCCTGATGTTTTTAGCTCTCGAAAGTTTACTTACATATCTTGAAAATTAGAGCCCAGATTGATTAAGAGAATCAAGTTAAAATTTGCAACAAATACAGCAACTTAAGTCTCAATGAGAACGCTTGAAATAACAGCTACATAAATTTCCAATCATGCATATGCCTCCCATGATACGTGCGCGTGAAAAGTCATTATTACTGTGTATTTTTGTCTCTAATAGCTATCTTCTTTCCTGTCAAATTATGGCGTGTAGCATACGAAGATTACGGGCTTTAAGTTTTTTTAATTTGCGCAAGTTCCTCTAGCAGCAAGAATAAACTTTGGCAACATTTAACGCCGCGAAAATTTACTGCATTCAATCAAATGAATCGGAGAATCCGAATTTAGTTTTAATTCGTATTGTTCGCATTAGACCACCTACGACATCATCAATCGTGGATCGAGCTCTACCATGGATTGCTCGTCGACAACAAGTCGTCAAGAAATTTAAAACATTTTATGTCTCTCTCCTTGTTTATGTGCTGCTAGTTAAGGAAGGAAATCGTTTCAATCCAGTTCCAAGCAAAATTTCGGTCATGTTAAACTGCAAAATTTGTCGCTACAAAACACAAAAAATAATCATAAGTCTAAGAAACAAAAGCGCCTCAGAATTTCCATTTCCATGGGGCGATGCATATTACAGGAATACATTTCTACAAGTTTCTGGCTGAGGGAGACGATAAGGAATCAATATCACTTTTACCCTCAAATCTACCAACAATTATTAACGTGCACTGAGCCAGTCGTAAATAACAAAAAAAGATTATATTTTTTTCATTACTTCCATGCTTTCAAAGATAAATGGATGAACGAGCCGGGTGGCAAATGGAATTAAAATATCAAACAAGAAAGATGGACAATATAGCCTCCTTTTTTCCGTGGGAGGCGGGGGTTCCTCATAAAGACACATGTTACATTTCCCACTGCTTCATTTTCATTTTAAAATCCAATTGCCTTAATTTTAATTTTTGATTGATAATATAACTTGTCTTTACTTTTCTGTTTGAGAACTTCCATCCATGTTTCCTCGCCAGAGTTCCGAATAGTTAATTGTTGACTTATGTTCAATCATCTCATTAGCACTTATTGAAATAACGCTGAGTTCGACACAAACGAGCCCTTGACAAGACATTCGGGAGAGATTAGCAATATAAGTCAATAAGCTTCCGCAAAGAAAAAATTGAATACTCACGATAGATGTGGCCAATAAATTTATTTTATTCTTTCAAAAGGTGTTAAAGCAATACGTTAATACGTGTCACATTATCGATGGCAATCAAAAGATCAAGCCAACGAAAGGACAGAACTGATAAAGTCAGCTAAAGAATATTGACCTTTTCAGATAACTGGTTCTCGAATTATAACTATGTAAATCAAATACTGTCTACTGTACTTTCAGAAACGTTGAGGCCTTTTAAGGCGGACAGAAGGAAACTTTGTTGACGATCTCCTCTAAAAACTGCAACGAAAAAAACCTAGACCGAAGACTGCCATGACGAGCTTGTTTAACCAAACTTTGAACAGCAAGACCAATGAACAGCAGATCAGAGTTAGCCAGGCAGATGACTTTAACAATCTCATAATCAAATGTGTTGTGAATGCAGTATTCTCGTTAACAGCTTTGGTGGGAAACGGTCTCGTTCTTGGCGCGATTTGGAAAACCCCTTCTTTGCACTCCCCTTCCAATATTCTCCTCTTTGGGCTCGCCTCATCAGATTTTGGCGTGGGTCTTATCGTGCAGCCATTGTATGTGACCCTACAGATCATTGAAGTTGTGACAAAAGAATACTTTACCTCTGCATGGACGTCGTACAGAATAACCCAAGCAATTTTTGTGTCAACAACGCTATTAACAATAACAGCAGTAAGCGTCGATAGATTTCTCGCTCTGCATCTTCATTTGAAATACAGGGCCGTGGTAACAGTCAAGCGAACTCTGATTGTTTTATTTCTGATATGGATAGCAAGCGTTGCATATGGTTTGACGGTTTTAATGGACTTATTACACCTGTCTTTCTGCGTTACGATCGTGTGTTCAAGTCTGATTGCAACTTCCATAGTCTATCACATCATTTTCAGAATCGCACGACGCCATCAAAGGCGCACCCAATTTCAAATGCAAGAAACTTTGAATAGAACGCGATTAAGGAAGCCCGCAGTTAATATGTTCTTGGTGTTTCTCTGGTTGTGTTTATTTTACACTCCCTATCTTTCCATAAGAATTGTCGTTAATATTGTTCGGTGGCCGTTCAACTTGGTACGCCTCACTCTCAGTTGGTCAGCTGTCTTCGTTTATATCAATTCCTCCTTAAATCCTTTAATATACTGCTGGCGCATGCGTTACTTGCGCAGGGCGATAAGGAACTTTGCAAGAAACCAATTGCCCAGCGTTTACAAGTGATTATGCGAAAAGCAACTAACCTGATGAGTTTGAAGACGCGTCACAATACATTTATTTGGAATCATTTACTTCTCATGTGAATTATATGGATGACCTCGACTTACCTCAAGAGATTGCGTGAAACATTTGAGTCTGTCAGATAAATGAAAAATATTAGCCTTAGGCTTTCTGTTTTGTCTGGAGTTATTATTATTATTTTCATTATTATTGTTATTATCATCATCATCATTATTATTATTGCTATCATTTTTTTGCGGGGGAGTGGGGGTTGGGGCGGTTTATTGCCCTTTCTTCACTGACGCTCACGGTCGAGAGCCTCTAAACTTCGCCAAACTTCTTCCACTTCCGAAATAATAATGTTTCTCGTGAAAGAATTCTGAGCTAAATTATTTTAAAATAATTTATTAATTCTAAATTATTTTTTCGAGGGTCGAGGTAAAAAGTCACATAACTAACCAAGCATCATTGAGGTCAGCAATTAACGGCATTGATTTTCAAAATTAAGAAATCGTCAAGATCGAGCCGGGCTCGCTTTCTGTATTCTGAAAAATTGTGTTATGTTGCGCTTTTGTTGGTTAACCCTTTAACTTCCAGGAATGACCAGGACAGAATTTCTCTTTACAATATCAGTACAATATCAAGCAGACAAGATGAGAATAAACAAAAATATCAACTAGGGGATTGCCAGTTGATCCAATACCAAATTCTTCGAACTACCACTATAAGAATAGAAAGGCAGGCTGTAAGGAGAATAACTATTGCGATCTCGGGAGTTAAAGGGTTAATCGATAACCCGATATTCAGTTCTTCCAATCAAATCCTCTTCCACGTACCCTAACTAGTGGAGTACAAGGGAAGACAAGAGTCTTCAAGGGTAGCGCTCAGAGGTTGCGCTTTCATGGCTGTGGTCTAGCAGCGCCCAGTGGCCCCTAGCGCCTAACTTTTGCTCATGGGTGACTTAGGAATTTTAGTTTTTCCATAAAAAGCATATGCTGGACACCCTGGATTTCACAGTTTCAGAGCTCTGGGCTCTCTTCAATTTTCCTTAGAGCACAACCTTAGCCTTTTGCCATCTTGACCAAAAAATGTCATCACGTCATCATGGTGAACACCACAAACCACAAACCGTAGGCAACAAAACATCACACATCAAATTTCACCACAGAACTACCGACCAATCAGCCGTTATTCTCAAATTAGTCCCGTCGCAGGAGCGCGCACTAAAATTAGAATTAAAAAACATTCTCATTGGAAGAGGGGTATGTATGGGGGATATCACTACAATCTTAGGGAAAAAAAGGGAGTATGACCTTCCCCATGCGCGCACCAATCGTTTCTAGCGCACATTCATCCCTGCAATGTGTAGATTAGCGAACAACATCCTAGTGTAAATGTGCGTACATAATTCTATTGATTCTAAGCTTAGTAGTATTATCAATTTCCTTCAAGCATAACCTGTATTATAGTAGTTTATACATTTTCTTTATTTATTGTAAAATATTGGGCAATTCAGCCTTTTGGCTATCTATCTATCTATCTATCTATCGATAAGTTCTCTAAGGTGATATTCTCTTGACAACGGTTGATTGGTGGCTTATGATTGACAGGTCACTTGGTTAGAATTTTCATGCATAAATCGTTGGTATGGCTCTTGCTCTTTAATCGTTTTTACCAGGATCTCCTTGGATATCATCACGATGTCTTTTCCGACACACCGTTCCAAAACCGGCCATAGAGCCTTTGATTACAACCGAAACGAAAGCTTTACGCTTCGTGGAATCCTTCGCACCCGAGGTGCATAAAAAAACTTTCGTTTACCTCTGAGCAAAAGTGAAGAATTCAAAAGTAGGTTTATGAAGAACACGGGCTTTAAATTAAAACACCAGAATGTTATGGATAGTCTTGCGTACATTCAATATCTAAATGTCTTTAAAGTCACTGTTACTTTACAGTTGTTCTATCAATAAATTAAAAAAATAAATTCCTTTATACAAAGAAGGGAAGAGTAAAAAATCTCTCTCATTAAATTTTCCTGGACGTCATAACCGCCTGGGAGTAGTTATTTTTTGTGAGTTAGAAAACAAATGAGTGTTATCTTGGTAACCTGTGGTGTACAGTATACCGCAGGTAGGGTACAGTATATCAGAGGTGGGTAACAGTATACAAGAGTTAGGGTACATTATACTGCAGGTAGGGTATAGTATACCAGAGGTAGGGTCCAATATACCAGAGGTAGGGTACAGTATAGTGAAAGTAGGGTACAGTATAGCGGAGGTAGGGTACAATATACTGCAGGTAGGGTACAGTATACCTGAAGTAGGGTACTTTTTTTGGCCAGGAGAGCTTTGGAAAAGGCATCATGCTTGTCTTGACTTTGAGTTCTCATTAACTGCTTCTTAGATTTTCCTTTCTTAAGCTATCATGATCATTGTTGTTTAGGGACACTTGATTGAAATGTGGTCAATAGGAGTTACCCCTTCCAATCCAAGACGATAAAATGAGTTTAAATGCCCCCTTCAATAACACTACACAACCCGGACGATAACAATGTACAAAAAGTTATCAGGATGACTAAAATGTTCACTGATCCAGTGTATAGGTGTCTCTAGAGGGGGCTCAATTCCTTGAATCACAATCCTCCATTCATTGTCCATCCTTGCAATGCCATTAGCAAACACCTCAGGAGCAAACTCATGTAACAGATCACCAAGTGTGTGCTGCTCGCCTATCAATGAATGCAGATGAAATTTTTAATATCTAATTGAAAAATTTTCTTTTGGTTTCAATACAAACAGAGGAGAATTTGTTTTAGTCGTGAGAGCATACATTTCTACAATAGAGACCTTTACATTCTAGTACTTCATGGGTAGTTTACATTCCTAGGACATCTACAGGTTCAAGTATTTAGTACAAGTGAAACAATGGAGAATGCAGTTAAGCTATGGACTGAGGGAATAATTTTGCAGTATTTCAGTGACAGAAGATAAAAATCTTAAACATTCCAATCAGAGCTCTATGGAAGATGACACTTACCATTTTCATTAAGGGGTCTGAACAACTCCTGGATAAACTGTTTGTCAGGCTGCAAAATACAATGCACCCAATTATATAACACAATTAGAATGTGCAGAAATCACCAGCACTTCAAGATAAACAAACATAACATAAAACCATAATAACTTCTGCCACACTTGAGTTCTAGAGGTAACAGTTCATACCAGTAATAGTAGAAACCCTCAGTCTCAAATGGAGCAGACTTAACTCCTATACTCCTGAGATCCAATTAGCAATACTCCCTTCCTGATGCTTATATTTCACTATAAATCAGTTCAGAGAATTTGGTGTTTCATCAAGGAAAGTTTGACTGACACATCTATGTTTGTATTCTCTTTATTTTTGGGCTGGATAATACTATGAGATTTCAAGAAGTGTTCTGTTCTGATTCAACCTTTTACACCCCAACAGTGATAGGGATTTCAATTCTCCCAACAAATTCTCCCTTTAATCATAAATTAAGGTCATGAAAATAAAATAAATGATTGTGAAATGAGGGAAAAGACCTTTTAACGGTACACAGGTTCCAAACAAGGTACCGTAATTTCCGGCCGTTTACCCGCGGGTAATCTGTTGATTTTGCATTAAACGCGCGCGGGGAGGGGAGGTGCGGGTTATGTGACAATTTTAAAATCCACCGGTAGTTGAATTGAAAAAACTTATCACCAACATGCGTTTCCACCTCTCAAATGAATTTTATTGCATTAAGAGTGCCACAAAGCGGCACAAAAACATGATGCCGACTCGAGTTTATTTCACGCATAATTAGTTGCGTGACGAACAAATTGCTATTGGCACGCGTGAAAACGAAACCTTGATGGCGACAAAAATAATCCAAAGATATCCGGCGCATTAGTAACAAATTTCCATTTAACACTAACTTGAGCTAAAGAGAATTTTCCCGTTTTAAGGGACTTGTTAGGCCCAATAGAACCGGAGATATCGACTTTTTCAGAAATCGCCGACAGTACTTTATAATTCAAGTTTTAACACTCACCCAGCTTTCTTTCAACAAATCAACATGGCGCTGAACGGTCGCTCGCACAAAATGTGGCCACAAATTCGCATTCTGTCAAGTATGAACGTTGAGATTGGGACGTGGGCCGCTAGTGTTTTTACTGTATAATTTTATCAATAAAGTACATGCTAATATTGACACAGAATTGTGCACGCGTCTGAATTTCTTTGACCTTTAAACTCTACAAGGACGCTTTCAAGTTGTCGAAAGTTAGATCAGACAGCTTCTAAAAGATTGAAATGTATCACCTTTAATGTCACGTTTTCGCCACCAATAAGTTGAATAACATAATGTGCGGGTTATCCACCAGTGCGGGTAATCGGCCGTGCGGATAAACGACCGGAAATTACGGTACATGAAATAAATGTCGTAGTGCTGTGTTATGGAACACTGTTTGTGACTATGAACAAGAAGTTGGACACTCAAGTCTCAATAATCTGTAAATAACACCTACTCACTACAGACTACTTAAAGGAATTCAAATTTAACATACTTTCCGCTTCTACTGCTTGCCTTATACACACCCATCTTGTTTTTTATTTAGAAGTTACAATATATAACATTTTCTATTTTTGAATTCAAGTAATATTTAGTATGTAGAGAATACACATACTGATGTCAGTTAGGGTGTTGAGGGTTACAAAAGGGCAAAATTTAGTAGACAAGATGAGCTAAGCATGCAATTTGGCTTCTAACAAGTAAATCATCATTCTAATCTCACCAAGGCACAAATATTTGCACTAAAAGGTACTTTAAGTGTTCATCAAAAAGTATCCTCTTGTACTGTTTTTTGTGTCCCCAATGGGTGACCGCTTTATTGACATAATCCTGACGCAAGGAAAAACCTTTAAAAGATTACCTGAAATATTCTGAAGGGGATATGTTTGAAGTACGGATCATCTCCTGTTCTCTCCATCAGACGGCGATTTACAGCCCAAAACTGCTCAAATTTATCTGTTAGATTTAAAAACAAACTATCATTCATATGATATGTGCTCAC